TGAATTCGTGGATCGGGCCGGGGAAGGACGCTCGTTCATGTCAGTCGACCTAGCCATAGACAGCTCCGGGGACCTTTCTGCCTTTCGCGTGCGATATTTCTTAGTGTAATGCTGCAAGATATCGTAGAACGCTGACTGATATTCTGATACGTATCTTGGGTAGGCATGCGCGTTTCTGCTGGCTGCGCCTGCTCGATGCCAGTGTATGTCTTTTATACTCCGCTCCACCCCCTGAGGTCGTTTCTGGAACGAAGTTGGCAGCTTTTGAGACTGGGCACCTGCCGAGCAGCACCCGGCCGGTAGGGCACTTTGGGCCGTGAGATAGGGTATCAGCACTATGTAGAACATATGCACACCGGGCCTATGGGGACAGATAGTTCCCAGCAGACTTTCTGTCTAAAGAAACTCACTATGCTCTCAACAGTGGAAAAGGTGGATGTGGACAGGTCCACTAGATGGGAAAGCGGCGCAGCGCGAAGTCCGCATGTGCATAACTATAGGCGAAGCTCGACTTGGAGAATGTCGGCAAGTGTCGCTTGGTTTGTGCTATAGTATCGATAGTCGCCGGCCCAAAAGAAGCAGCGGATCTGGAATTGAAGCCGCCAGCGAATGCGGGGGACTGATGCAGGTAGTCCATGCGGACGCTCCGCTTTACTTGGGAAGTTCACGACTCGTAAAGACCATTTTGTCATGCAAACAAAACGCGGGAGGGTCGAGTTTTCGGGTGAGCTCTGCGTAATTAAACCAGAGTGAATATTTACATCAACTAGTTATACATCCGCATCGGAGCACTAGATTTATGAAGGAGCCCCGGCGTAGCCAAAATGATGCGTAGGATATACTGCTGCTATTCTTATCTCGACTTGCAAAGCACGTGGCTAGCGTAGCCTGACGCTCCTATCATACGAAAGCCCCCCTGCTGTCTCATTTGCATGCGAAGTGGCGTTCGCGATGGTAGGCAGTTCCGAACGGTGCATAGAGGCGTTGCTGCTTCTGCAATCGGTCTAACGTAAACGGAGACCCGCTGATGTTGGATGCCGTGGACTCCTCTTCGAGTGTGATCGAAAATGCGTGCTGAAGGTCAGGCACCTCGACCGCAATGTCCTTCTCAAAACGGATGGCGTCGGAACTGCCGTCTCCGCCGCTCGACGCTGCGAGAGGCGCCTGCCCCTGGCACTTGAAGACGGCAGAGGAACGATGCAGCTGGGTGAGAAGGACACGCAGCTCTTCAGATTCCGCCCGTAGCCGGCACCTTAGCCTTCCCGTACAATGATATGTGCCACAACGCATAATGAGCGGAGAGCCCGTGTCCAGCTCCAGGAAAAACAGATTCGCACGAAAGCATTTGGCAAGACGTCTCATTTCCGTCGAGCCTAAGGCGATTTCGCGTGCCATCCTCGCCACCTCCCGCATGCTGCCTACATCATCCAAGGCTGGTTGGTCTGCCCCGAAGCGAACGTCGAAGCGGAAGAAGTCTCCTCTTTTCTCCAGCTTCTGATGACGTAAAAGCTGTTCCCATGCAGCCGCGGAATCACTCTGTCTCCAAAAGGCTCGAAACAGCCGCGCTGGGAACAAACTGCTCCAAAGCGACCCGCCATCGCCGCTGCGCTTTTGACTCGTGGAGCCAGTGCCCAAAGAAACGACGATGCTCAGTTCCGTTGGCGTGGGGAATAGCAACCCGGCTTCTTTCAGCGCGATCGCTGCCGGGTTGTTGAAAGCCAGCCCGCCATCTTGAAACGTCCCCGTCCCGGCAATATGGTGAGGTGTGAAGTAGCTGACGACAGCAGGTTAGCCGACGTTGCTTCTGTCAAGTCCAGGTACTTACTAAGGCGCAGCCGTACAGCATCGCAATCTAGACTCCGTCAGCGTTCATCACGGCGGCATCCTCCCCTCAGACTCTACTCACATTTCCCACAGGGGGACGTTGCGCGCCCCGTTCCTAAATGTCAACGTGGTGTAGTCTGCCCCTCGTCAAGTCAGTGATGAGCTGTACCGTCACCTTATAGAGCGTACCAGTCCCATTGTTTCGACAACCAACACCGTTGTAATTCGTTGCGATGCAGGTGCTTGCGTCGTCCGTCGTGGTCAAAGTCACTCCCAGCGAGATGCCCATCTCACTCGCGGCGTTGGAGTCTACAATGCTTCTGCTTTCGCCGTATGCGTCTTTCTGGATGGACTCGAGCCTCTTGGCCGAATATTTGCTGTCTACTAGCAGAGAGCTGAGAATCTGCAGCAACGGGGATAGGATGGGCACATCGCCGACCAGGGGGGCAACAACTCGGAAAAG